TTCATGGCTCTGTAACTCCTTGGAGATAGCTACTGTATCTGAAGGAGACTGTTTACCTCAACTTCCTGTGTTCTGTCCTCTCACATCTAAGGGTTAGCACAGCTTTGACATATCTGGCTTGGTCTCACTTCCTCATGTTATCACCAGAGTTGAAGGGTATCAGCCTCCTGGTTTCCCTTCTTTCTGGTCTCCACTTAGCAGCTAGAACGTTCTTTAATGATACAGCATAGCCTAAACCACATCTTTGCTTAGAACTTAAGGCTCTCTTTTGCCTTCTTATCCTCCTCCCCTGACCCTTTTACCTAACCTCATGGGTCCCATCAATTCTCTGTCTTTTACCCAGTCCAGCCTTTGCACTGGCTGGCCTCATTATTCCTTCCCTCTCTCCCACCAGATATCCCCATGGCTCATTTCCTGTCTTCACTGAGGTACCAGTTCAAATACAAGCCTAACTCATTAACTGCCCCAATCATTGAAGAAAACAGCTTTCCTCCGAGGCTCTCCTACTTTATGGTCCCACTACATCATTCTTCATGGTGCTTATTGTCATCCACCATGCTGTTATTATCTTCTGAGCTGTTAAGGCTCAGATCATGGACGCTGATTGAACATTCTTTTCACAAGTCTCTGGGATTAGAGAAACATTTGACGGGAGTGAACTAAGGACATCCTTGCTCAACAAAAGATGCCAGAGGCAGAGGAAAACATATGAACTCAGAACATGGGACTCCAGTCATGCAAAAATGGTCAAATACCACCACCCCCTTCCATAAAAGGGGCAGAAAGAGCCCTGGTGAAAAGATGCTATGAAATGCTGCAGATGTGCTGGTTTGGGAGGGGGGCACACAACAGTGCCCAGACAGAACATGATTAATGTGTGAAACTCAGCAGGAAGGGAGCCTTTTAACTAGAAAGTTGTCACAATTACATTGGTGACCATAAGCATTTAAACTCACCCATTGGGGGAGGAGACATGTCCCTCAGTGAATTAAAAAAAATCAGATGTTACAAGATGCTGCTTGGTAGACATCCAGTTACAGATAAAAGAGGATTAAGGCTGGGAAAGGACAACAGATAAAGCATGCTTCATTTAAGAAATTAGATAACATGACCATTGATTTTGATAAAAATATAAAACCTAATGGATGCATACATGACATTAATTAAACTCCTTAAGTAGGGTCACATAACACAGCACCAAGGCATTTAAAATCCTGTAAGAAAGTAGCAATGGGGAAGGGTGGCTATGGACAGGAAGATGGTTGCAGAGATAGGCAGCTAGGGATCACAGCTCATATGAGGGCACAGGGAAGCCTGTTAATAACGGTAAACAGACATATGGACAGCGTTTTTGCCAAAGCAGGACTTTCCCATCTCCATGAAGCATTCTCTGGAACTGGAGAAGATATAAATAAAAATCATAAAACCTTCCAATTAAAAGATTACCCTTTGATCCAGACATACAAGCTGGCAGACACCGAACAAAGCCCCCAAAGAAAAGCTAAATTAACTTCAAAGAGCAGAGGCTTTGGGGCAGGGGTGGGGGGGGTGGAGCTCCATTCTCCAACAAGCAGATGGAGAAATTAGGAAGTTGAGAAGTGAGAAACACATCCAAGAACTGCTTCATTGAAAATGCACCCCAAAATAATAGCATTTACAATCCTTGGGGAATCTCACAAAATAAATAAAAATAGAGGGAAGGTAAACAGAAACCGAATTAGGAATGAGAGGAGGAGCCAATAAAGAAGTACCTTTCAGGAGTGCCTCTGCTTCACTGTGCCTTCCCAGCTCTTTGTGTCAGTCATGGCACTGCCTGCTCTGTGCAGGGTGGTCCCCAGGTGTGACAGGAAGTCATGGGGTGAGGAGCTCCCAGTGGGAGGATTCCCTATGTCTCAAATGAGAAAAACGTGTGGTGTGGTTCAGTCTTTGACTGTTGTATTGGCATGCATTTGCATTTTTCAGGTCTGAGGATGTGGTTTTCAAGTTTCCCTAAGAGTGGCTTCTCATCTCCCAGCACAGGCCAACCTTTGTTTCTTTCTTTGGGAGGGGCTCTGCTATCTCAGCACCCCATAACACCTTTGGCTGTCATCCTTCTGTGCTCAAAGTGGTTTGGGCTAATATGGGAAGGTATGGAACAGCATCTATTACTGAAAGTGGAAAACAAAAATAAAATAAGAATGTTTGTATAAAATAGGAAGATTTCACTAGCAGAGCCAAAGCAGCCATATCTTTACGTGACAGAATCCATTAAAGGGTTTATGTACAGCACTGGCTAGGTAAGCTGTCAAAACTGGGAGACTCTTTCCCAGACATACCCACTACCCCCAACATGTAACCAGTCCTAAAACAGTGAGACACTTCACAGACTGCATGGAATCTTCCCATACAGGATGCAGTCAGCCTCTAAACTACTGCCATAGAAATGGATGGATTAACCCTGGGGTGACAGCACTCAAGTGGGGGTGTTGTAGGGATGGCTCTGATAGGTTCCCTAGAAAGATGGCAGGTTCGTAATCATACTAGTTACCTGGGGAGAGAGATCTATATGAAGATGCTGGCCTTACTAGGGCACCCAGTGGGTCTCAGATGCTTGGGAAGGCACATTATTCACCCATGTTGGCTTCAGTAATCTGAGGAGAACTAGGGTAGAGTCAGGACTTGGGAATCCCCTCACAATCCCACTGAGTGAGTACAGGTCTGATTGGCTTTGCCTTGATCAGTGTATGTAGGCAAAGGGGACCTTGTGTGCTTGTAGTGAGTGTGCATGTGTTTTGGGCACACATATGAGATTGTACACATGCATCAAATATGTCAAGCAACTGGGCCACTAGCATGGGGAGATGCAAGCTCCCAGCCCTCCTCTCAGGTTGCATGGGTCTGGCTTCAGTGCCAGCCTCTAAGCCTATAGGCCGAGCTCCAGTCCCTGCAAGGGAAGGTGGTTGCAGGCCACCCAGGGCTCCTGTTGCTAGGAAACAGCTTCCTTTGATTGTGTATGTGGAGCATGCCTGTGTTTGTCTTTGGCTCTCAGAAGGACAAAATTCACCATGTGGCGACGGAGAAATAATATTGAAAAGCACGTTAAAAATGAAAAAGGTGCCAAATGGCACTCTGGATTGCAGATGCTCCCTTGCTGCGGAGCCCGCCACTTGCAAAGGCAGGACCATTCCAGAGCTGACTGAGCATTGCCCAGGCATGGGCTCAGGCTGCATTCCTGCAGGAGCACTGTCCTACCTTCCCACTCTTGTGTGCCTGAAGGATGTGGCCGAGTGTGTGAGTTTGCAGTGTGAGGCCAGGGACTGTTGCCCAGCTCTCTGTCCCTGCTCTCTCCCTCCTTGCCTAACCCAGGGGTATAAGCAGAAGGGCGGACAACAGGGAAGTGTGAGTCTCCATTCAGCATTTGGGAAAGTGGCACCATGTGGCCGCAGTTCACTTCACCCACTGAGTCAGGGGTGCTGGAGAATGGCACTCACTATTGAAATAAGTCTAGTGTCTCCTGTCCACCTATTATCATATGAGACCAAATCTGGGGAGATCAATGAGAATGGCCCCGGAGGGAGGGACAGGAGAAAAGTCAGGATTTCTTGCTGTGCTACAGGAAGAAGAGTGGATCCTTGTGCCCCCTGCCCTCATGTCCTGCTGCCTTCTCAGCTCTGAGCCTGACTGCTCAAATGTCAGGCCATCCATGTGTCAAAGCTTCCTGATCCCTGGTGCTCTTGCCCCTGGCAGGCCTCAGCACCAGTTGACTCTTGACTTTAAACTCCCCACCTTGGTCTGTTGTAACCACTTGACAGCTCTCATGGCTGACCTCCTCCAGGGCTCCAAATTCATCAGGCCAACAGGTGCAAGCATAGCCATCCTGCTCACCTCTTTGTGGCTGTTTCTAGGGTCTTAGCGGGTGCGTGGCAGTTCCTCTGTGGTCTGGGAGGAAGCAAAGCCAGAGGGCCTACAGATCTTTTAAAAGACTTATTTCTATTATTTTATTTATGTGTAAGTGTGTGTTTATGTATGAAACGTGTGTGGGTACCCAAGGAGGACATTGTATCCCCTGGAGCTGGAGTTATAGGCCGTTGTGAACTACTGGACATGAGTACTGGGAATCAAACCCTGGTCTTCTGCAAGAGCACTAAGTGCTTATAACTGCTGAGCCATCTCTCTAGCTCTGATCAGAACCTTTTAATGAGATGCAAATGTGGATGTCTTTTTAAAAATAAACCACCCACCATAGGTTTCAAACATGAAACATTTAGAAAAGTGTATATATAGATACACACACACACACACACACACACACACACACACACACACACACACAAACAAACCCTGAACAAATTCAGAAAAACAAAACAAAACAAAAAAGCGCTGTTATCATTAGTTAGCAGCCTGGTGCGTTTAAATGCCTTTCCCCCACATTTTTGTTTGGATGCTTGTTGACTACATCTTCACATCATACAAATAAAATTTTAGAATTAATTAGATCAAGTGCAATAGTATTACAGGCCTTTAAAATACTTTTTGGTAAAAAAATTGAATTTATTATTGGTGCTCAGAGAGGCAGGTTTTGGCATGATTATTAGCAATACCCTGCTGGTTTTTCTTTATGATTCTTTGGCTGCAGAGAATCCTCAGGTGGAACTTAAGTGGGTACATGCCAAAGGGATATGTGTAGATTCTGCCAGCAGATTCCTCTTGTCTAGCTCCTTGCATGGACCCAAACCTGCCACCAGACTCCTCTGACAGGTGGAGGCATGCCTGGTGAGGGCCGCCCACTACTGAACCCGGGGAAGCTTCCTTATGTATCACAATTATAGAAACACCTGTGCTAAATACCTTTGTGCAGGTTGGGCTGGTTCTGAGAGTTTGCGGGGTGCTCCACAGCCTCTGAATTTCTCATTTCTCCACAGTCAACAGCTGCAGGTGTGCACAGTGGGAACTGCTGAGGTCTGGGGAGGGGGGTTGTGACGACAGACCTGAATCTAGGATGACACATTTATCCTCCCCAGCGTCTGCACCCCGTGGTATCCCCGTGTTTACAGAGAGGGCAGAGGAGATCTGTCACTTCAGACCCACCTGGTGGCTCACAGCAACCTGGGGAGAGAACAGAAGGCAGAGGTAAGAGCTTCCAGAATGTAGGATTGTCACAGGGGCCAGACTACTGCTGGCTGTGGTATTACCCAGTAGGAAATGCAGGCAGGCAGTGTGGGAAAAGAAATGGGTGAGACAATCTACCATGGCTGGGGCCGCATCTGGCTTGTGGACATCTCAACTGCCATTTTAAAGGGTTTGTGGTTGTGACTATTATTAAATATCCAGAGTGTCTGTTGAGTGGACTCTGCAGCTTCTTTTGGACCATAATAAGCATGTCTCCAGGGTCCACAACACCTGTTTGCTGCATCAGTACTGGTCACTCCTCTTGAAGGCAATGCCTTGCCACAGTTTCTATGCCATTAGCCTGTGCAAAACCTCTGTGGGGAAGTGAGCTGATGCCAGGAGGGGATACACTGTTCTACCTGTGGTGGTCTGAATGATTTGGCCCTCATAGGCCATATGTGAATACTTGCTCTTCTGTTGGTAGAACTTTTTGGGAAGGATTAGGAGGTGTGGCTTTGTTGGAGGGGTTTTGTGGTGGGGGTGTTTAAGGTTTCAACAGTTCACACCATTACCAGTGTTTCTTTCTGTCTTTCTCTTTGTCTGTCTCATACTTGTGGATGATGATTTATTAGCTACTGCTCCAGAGCCATGCATTCCTGCCTGTTGCCATGCTACCCACCATTAGGGTCATGGACTCTAACCCTCTGAAACTGTAAGCAAGCCTCTAATAAAAAATCTTTTTGTATAAGCTGCCTCTGTTACAGTGTCTCTTCATCACAATAGAAAGGTGACACTATCCATTTATATTAGCACAGTCTGAATGACATGCATGTCCCTTTCTTGACTGAAGCCTTGATAACCAGCTCAAGGAAGGATAACACAAACACTGCACGTGAATCGTTCAGATTCTTTGCATAAAGGCTTTATGTGTTGTTGCAGAATATTTCTTTAGCTAGTAAATATGTGTTGCACCTGTTCATGTTGCAGTATAATTGTTTAACTATGAAAAGATGTGTTGTATTTGGTTAATTATATAAGCATGTGTTGCTGTTTTACCTTGCCTACCTAAGGCACCTGATTGGTCTAATAAAATGTTAATGGCCAATAGTGAAGGAGAAGGTATAGGTGGAACTTCCAGACAGGAAGAGGAGGAATTTAGGCCTGGGGAAGAAAGAAAGAAGGGAGACAACAGGGAGACACCAGAGGTCAGAAAGACAGATAGACATGGAGGAAGCAGGAAAGTAGGACATACACAATGAAAAAAAGGTACAAATCCCATAGGCAAACCATAGATGAATAGAAACAGGTTAATTTAAGTTAAAGGAGCTATTAGGACAATCCTAAGCTAAGGCCAAGCATTCATAATTAATAGTAAGCCTTCATGTCTTTATTTGGGAGCTGGTTGGTGGCCCAAAGAAAATGTCAATTACACTAGGTGTTTCATGATTTAGAAATACAACACTGGAAAGTTCCTGCAGGCAGCACACAGGAGTGAGGCCTAGATGGTTCAAGCTTTGGAATTTGTTAGTAGTTAGAAGTGCTGATGTGCTCTGAACCCCGACAGGTACTGCCTTCATGATTACTCCTCAAAAATAAACCATCTGTCTCTGAGAGACGGTGATGCTATGGGAAAAAGCTGGCTTTATTCAGCTCTGCCTCATGCGACTTTTGGGGTAGAGGAATGGATTTTGGGCAGTGTCTTCCTCCTCCACTGGGTCTTTTGGATTTCCATACAACACTGTCTTCATAGGGCTTCAAGAATAAGCACAGCTTTAGGAGAGTCCAGATCTGACCACTCTCCTACTAAGGGAGTTTCCCGGGAGACTGCCTATTCAGAGCAATCAACTGATCCCCAACATTCATTCATGTAAGGATTTGGAATTCATGCCTTCCTAGGCAGCACAGGCTGTAAGAAGTCTTGAAGAATGGGGCCCGTGGTGCCTGATGGTGTGAAGAAATACTTCCAAATGAAGGTGCACTATAAGTTGAACAGGTCAGAGATCCTCATTCCAGGTACAGGAAACCAAGGAAAGTTTGGATATCTAAGAGCCATGCCACCAGATCAGAGGAAACTGATGACTTTGAATTTGACCAGTGTGTTAAACAGAGGCCAATGCTCTCTTTAGAAGGACATTGGCCTGGGAAAGGGCTAAAAAGGGAGCGTCTCTCCCTCCCCATAGCAGAAGGAAGATGGGATAGGAGAGCCGACAAGTTTTCCCTTGCACCCTCCTTCCTCAGGAAGACATCTTCCTGGGTACTTCATCTGATGCATGCTCTGCAGGTACCCTTGAGCACCACTAAGTCTCTGGCCTCCTGCCTCTGTTCCTCCTAGCTGGCAAAGTGACAGGCCTGGCCCATCCCAGATCTCCCTGCAGCTACTGCTGAGGGTCTAGACATGGCTGATTGGTCTCAACCTGAAGTTTGGAATGTCATTCAAAGAAGACAGCCACAGATGGAAATGTACCTGCCCTTCCCTACTCTTCCAGAGAATCACTCCAGTTAAGTTTCTCTGTGTTTTCGGAGCTTTCTCACTCACTCCACTCCCAAACTACTATCTGCCCAGCAAAGACTCTGTGTCACACTCTCCTGTACAGATACTGTCAGAAGGGAGCTAACCCTCCCCAATGCCATCTCTACTTACCATGATCTATATCTGGCTTAGTTAGGTTTTTGTTGCTGTGGAGAGACACCATGACCACCATAACTCTTATAAAGGAAACACTTAATTGTGGTGGCAGCTTGCAGCTCAGAAGATCAGTCCATCATGGCAGGGAGCATGGAGGCATGCAAGCAGACACAGAGCAGGAGAAGTAGCTGAGTGGCTTACATCTTGCATGCAACAGGATGTTGACTGAATGTTACACTGAGTGAAGCTTGAGAAAAAGCCTGCCCCCCACATTGACATACTTTCAATGAAAGGTGTTGCCCAGATTAAAGGTGTGCCCTCCAACCTCAAGGTCCGAATTAAAGGCATGTGTCATCCAGTCTCCTCCAATAAGACCACACTTCCTCCCTATGAGCTTATGGGGGCCAAATACATTCAATCTACCACAGTATCTCCAGCCTCACTGTACAACCCAGGTCCTACCCAAAGCCAATTTTATTCCTATCTTCCCTTCTTAGTGCCATCTGTAGGAATGCTCCTGTCTCTGACCTCATCGCTTTCTCTTGCTCTCTTCTTTGGGATTATGGCCTCCTGCATGCAATACCTATATGGAGCGTCTCATCTCAGAGAGATGCTTCCATGCAACTCCATTTCTTCCCAGCACTGCTGTATCCCTTACCCAGGTCAACTGAGGTCCCTGCTGGATGAGTGTTTGCTCCTGGTTCAACCATCTGCAAACTTAGGAATTTAATGCAATAATGGCAAACTAACAGGACATTTGGTTACAGGCATTTCATTGCCACCAATACATAGGTGGATAATATCACTCTTAAAGTCTAGTTTGGTCTTGACATATTGCCTGATCAGCTTTGCATTCCCTTGAGTAAATGCTTTGGGTCTCTGGAAGGAAAGAGCAGGGACTTGTAATGCAGGTCAAAGAACATGAAGTAAGAAGTCATCAGTGTGTGGCCCAGCTGGCCCCATGTAGTCCAAACTCCCAAAGTGCCTCCAAGTTCCACAGAAACTAGAGAGCCTCCTTGAGTCGCTTTTTTGTAAACTCTGTTTTGGGTAAAAGACAGAAATCCATCAAACGGCACACAGATTAACTTATCACCCAGTTAAACAGGCTGTCAGTGTGGGGCGGCTGAGCCTGGCCCACTGAATTCAAATGCATGTAAATTTCCCTGGTGGCAGGAGAGAGGATGGCAGAGCTGTCAGCCGGTGACATGTGGAAATACATTAACAGTGTTTAAAATATATTTGAAGGGGCTGGCTCATATTTTGATAACACACTCGCCGACAAATGATTTGTGGGAGATAGAAAGCCTGACCTCATCTCTATTCCAGAGGAGTCTTTGTAATGAGTCCCTCCCAGGATGTTGGGGGTTTCAGAGAAGTTGACAATTAACAATGCCTGTCTAAACCATGAAAGTCCCCTGTGTCGCTGATGTATTCAGTGGGGTTCTTCCAGCCCTACCTGTCAGTGGCACTCCAGCTTACAAAAAGAAGCGATTACCAATTTCAAAAGAGCCAATTACAGTGTGATGTGCACCTGTGTGCTAGGCTCCACAAACCAGCAAAGGCAGCGATCCTCTCAGTTCTTGGTACTTAGCCAGAAAGTGGGTGTCCTTGGCTAAGTGTAATTATCCTCAGGTTTAACCGAAGGCAGTTCCCAGTGTGGTCATGCTGGAAATAATAGCAAGCTGAAGAGAGCAGGGATAAAGAAGCAGTTGTTAGTATTCCATTCTGTGGAGCATGTAGGAAAAGCAAAGATGGCTACCATGCTGCTTTGGTGGAAGACTGTAGTTATATAGTTTTGATCCTCATTCTTGTCCTCTTCTCTCATAGGTCAGACCTGTTTTCTCTCTTGGTTTCCCACCTTGTTTGTTTAGAACACAGAGCTTTGTCTAATGAGTAAGCTGTGACTTTCCATCTCAGAGTTCTGAGACAAGCTAGCTTTAGCAGTTAGTGAAGAGAAAAAGGGACCTAGTTCTTCTTGCTTATCTGTAACCCTGATGAAGTTTAAACTTTGTCTTATACTGCAAATGGACTTCACAGGTTGATTCCTCACAGTCCTGTGTTTTACAGCCCTGTGTCTGACCAAGATGTGTGACCACTGAATAGCAAATGTAACTCTCTAACCCCCTGCCTCTCTAGTATCAATGGGCTGAGTCCTACAAAGACATGTGTATTAGTCTGGGTTCTCTAGAGGAATAGGACTTATAGGATGTATCTCTCAATATATAGAGTTTTTATTAGAATGGCTTATAGGCTATGGTCCAGCTTGTCCAACATGGCTGACTAGCAATGGAAATTCAAAGAATCTGGTATTTGTTCTGTCAACAAGGCTGGATGTCTCAGCTGGTCTTCAGTATATTCTGGAATCCTGAAGAAGTAGACTCTAATGCCAGTGAGGAAATGGAATTGCTAGAGAGAGCAGGAGAAATAGGCTAATAGGAAGCAAGCTTTCTTCTTCTAAGTCCTTTATTCAGGCTGCCAGAAGAAGGTGTGGCCCAGATCATATGTGGATCTTCTCATATAAAAGATTAGAAGTGAGTCTTCCCATTTCAAATGAAAAGTCCTTCACTGGTATGCCCAGCCCCATTTGGGTTTTAGTTAATTCCGGTATATAGTCAAATTGAGGACCAAGAAGAGTCATCACAACAGTATGTCTCTTATCCCTAGAGTCTGTTCACTTTCTGCTAGACATATGGAGTTCAGGAATCTTTATTCCACATGAATCTCTAACTCTTCAGGTATCCATCAAAACTAGCTACCTTCAAAACTAGAACTCTTAGGGCATCCTTAGCAAACAAAGAAAGAGCTATGCTATAGCTAGGTTCTTTCTTATTGGGTGGCTTTTCATGAGAAAACGCGAAGAAAGTTCTATAGACCCCAGAATGCCATATATAACAAAGTGGTTGGAGCTTAATTGGTATATTGGTTAGAGTTCTCTAAGAAAGAAGGCTAGCAGGTTGGGTTGGATAGTTGTTTTGAAAAGGGATAAATAAGACTTGATGGAAGAGTC